TAATCATATCNTTTTATTTTTCATGTCTCATTCATTTTTCATTGTTTTTCTTCCTCTTTCCATCCTACTTGAATTTATTTGTTTGCTTTTTTGGCCAATTTTCCATTAAAATGAGTTTTTGTTGTTTGGCAGAATTAAATCGCCCGTTTCAAGTTCAATTGGATCTGATCACACGACATGTGTGTTTGTGTGTGTGTGTGTATTTGTATGTGTGTGTATTTGTATGTGTGTGTGTGTTTGTAAACTTTGTATGCAGTATTTGTACGTGTGGTGTGTGCGTGTGTGTGCCTTACGTGTGTGTTGTATGCAGTGTTTTTACATGTGCGTGCGTGTGTGTTTGTTTGTGTGTGTGTTTGTTTGTATGCAGTGCCACGTACGCGCGTGTGTGTATATGTGTGTGTGTGTTGTATGCAGTATTAAAGTGTATGTGTGTGTGTGTGTCGCGCATACAAAATACAAAAACAAACAAACATTAATGACGAGGAGCAGATGTGCACAGCTTAAAAGACATTCTACAAACAGGTGTACATTTTGCGGCATACAAACATACAAACACGAAGGTGCGTATGTATGTATGTTTATGTATATATATATGTGTAGGTATATATATTTATGTACACGAAGGTGCGTATGCAAGCATGTATGTATGTTTATGCATATATGTATGTGTAAGTAAATATATTTTTCTAGATGTGTGTAGATCAAAAACTGAAAATGTTATTTTTGTTGTACAAACGTCAACAAATATATAGACACGTCATGCGTGCATGCATTTTTATTTGGAACAGTAGAAGCAATAATAAGGATAAAAAAAATACACACACACACAATTACACGTACACAAACACAAATATACACATACACACACGTAATTCTACACATACACACCAGACACAAATATACATATACATACACACAGTTACACGTATACAAACACACATACACACATACACACACGTGATTCTACACATACACACACCTTCATACATACACACAAACATGCACACGCACACACACAATTACTCGTACACAAACACACATATACACATGCACACATACACACA